TCCTATTGCGTAGTTCGTGTCCAGAATTCTGTGCGTAACTTCACTACTACTACTTTTACGATCATTACACAGACTCGAGTCTTCTTAGTCTTCGCTTGATTACCCTCGCTTGCGATTGCGTGTCACCTTCTTCATGCCACCCGAAGTGCTTGTACGTCCAGCCATGCATACGTTCAATTATATCCAACCACACAACTCCATATCTTCCCTACGTTCATGCAGTCTTGTTTATATATCAAGGTATACTGGTAACCATCCTTTCTGTTTCCAGAACCACCGTACGACGCTGCGTGCTTGGCGAACGCTCTGATTATACTTTCGTATGTCATAAACAGGGTATACGTAGTCCAATCAATTCTCATCTGGTCACTACCTACGGTTCAAGTCTCTCATACGAATGCAGGATCTGTTGGAGGTTGGTGAAGGAGGATTTATGGGACCCTGATCCCAAACAACAGTCAAGGAATCATTCTTACTTGATCATCATTCGTCATAGAGGGAAGGAGAGCTGCAGAGACAAAAGTCGGCCTCGGAACCGGAAACCCCTCGGTCAAGAGAGATTTGGCTTACTCGGCACACTCTTTAGCTAGGAGGGGAAAGCACTACCCCGTTGGCATTTCGCTCAGGGTTTATCGTAGTATAACCGTCAGATGTAGTGTAGAAACACATCCGTTAATTTTGGGGCAGCATAGCGGATGCCATTGCTGTTCACCCATATGAACCACTTATTTTTGGTTTTCCCCTGCTTTCCGGGCTGGGTTGCGACTAAGCTCCACCGTTTACTCATGCGACCCGTATGATTTAGGGTGCGTCTAACCGTACCAACCCTAGGAGTCGTCGCCACCCATATCCCCCGGTTGAGGGGTGTGATGGTTTCCTTCGGATCGTCCTGTATAAATTGTTTGAAAAGGTGTACGGTTTCTTGATAAACTAGAGGAGGAAGAGAAGAAAATTCGATGGTGCAGAGGACATGGGAGAATGGTGAAAACGCGTAACAGCCTCCTTCATCCTCCCTGAAGCCATACTTCCAGATCATTTAGTCCGCCTGCACTCAAGTACTGACCCTGAGCATGTGTCCGCCTGAGCCCGTTGCCCACCTACCCTGTATAATAGTGCTTTTGTGGTTGCCGCAGAAATGAGCAGTCTACTATCTATCCACCAGGAACATTCAGGTCTTTTCCAGTGCACACAAGTGTATACACACGGACATGCATGCATGCCTACATCATTTGTCCTGTTTTATGCCTTTTATACAGCTTCCGGAAACAGTTCCGTCCATATTGCATCTAGGCGACCCTCGGACTCCTCAACTGAGACTGCTGAAACAAACGAGCCTGGTAATTTGTTCCAAAGGTTTGTAACCCTTTGAGCGAAGAAATTTGCCCGGATGCTCCTTAGTGCTCTCGGTTTTTAAGCTTTATTCCGTTTCCTCGGAGTGTGAGGTTATTATTTTTGGATAGCAGCTGCGTTCCCGTACTGAATAGACCCTTTAGTTGCTTGAATGCCTCTATGGGGTCCCCCCTTGATCTTCTTCTGACCAAAGAGAACAGGTCGAGTTCTCTTAGCCTACCGTGGCAGTCCAAACCTTACATCCCCGGGTTCGCCTTGTGAACTTCCATTGTACATTCTCTAGTATCACCGAGTCCTTCACTAGGGGTGACGTCCAGGCTTGCACACAATGCTCTAAGTGCGGCCTCACAAACGCTTTGCAGAGCGGGCGAAGGACTAATCTGTCTCTTGAGGCCACAGTTCTCAGTAACTGATGTAACGCTCTGTTTGCTTTTGTCGCTCCTAGGAGGCACTTCTTGGCTGGTTTGCAGGTCTCGTGTACGAGTACTCCCAGATCCTTCATCTGGGTTATTTCCTGAAGGTTATCCAGGTTCAGTATCCTGTTAGTTGATGGTGGCTGGCCCCCATGGAATAAAAGCTTTCTGCATTTATTGGTGTTCAGAGGAAGCCCTCATTCCATCGCCAATCCATTGCAGACGACCTAGGTCTTGTTGCGTTTGCGCCGAGGTGGGGTCCCCAACTAGCTTAACATCATTCGCAAACACAAGACAGCCCTACCAGTTCTTGGGGCAGATCGCTGATACAGATGATGATAAGTAGCGGCCTTAATACCGATCCCTAGGGGACACCACTGCACGCTGCTGCCCTACCTACCTTGCCCCCTCCACCTTAACATGGAAGTTTCTCCCACGAAGGTATTCGTCGATCCACCTAACGATGTCGGGGCTAATGCCGAGTGCTTGTATTTTTCGAATTTGAAGACGATGATTGACGGAATCGAATGCTTTCTGAAAGTAAAGGTAGCTTATATTATCTCTACTTCTACCCCTTCTTTCAAAATCACGCCTATCTCACTTCCCAGAACAACTTCCCGCTTGAGTCCCTCACTCAAACC